ATCAATATTTAAAATTTTATTAAAAATTTTAAAATATGCAGGCAAATTTGCCTGTGTTACAATCTAAGGGATAACAAGAGTAACTTGTATTACAATTTGTATTTTTATTATATATGTCCAGTTATAGCTATCTCCTTCCTCTATTTCATCTATTATTAATTTAGCCATAATTTTAACATCTGTTTCAATATTATTAAGAGTATCCTTATCAAGTTAAATACAAAAAGAGTGTGAAAGTTCAGCGTTGTATTCCAAATCATCAATTGCAACAATGATATATTTGCTAATTTCTTAAAAAGAAATTAGCTCGATTGTAGGTTGTTCAATATTAAAGTCACCAACTAATTCACTTTGTTTAGTAGTTTTGTTATTAGTTCTCAAAGTTTTACAACGGTTACAAGTCTTGTAAGATTTGCCTTTGTATATGAATGCATTAGAGGGAAGAATGCCAGAACAAGTACTACAAATAGGCATTGTAATTGATAGCAAAAAGGCTTTGGGCAAAGAATTTATTTTATTTAAGTTTTTGAATACTTAATAATTGGCAAATAATTGGGATAGAATTTTAATTAAGCTTTTGAAAAAAATACTAATGCCAAAATTTCTCTTTATATAACTAAATATTGGGATAGCTGTTTCAATAGATTTGTTTAGTAAGTCTTACTTTATTTATTATTTTAATATTTTTTTTGTTAATTTGAATATGAACAAATGCGCATGAAACAAGGATACTTTAATTGAATATATTATTGTATTAAACAAAATAACAATCTAACTATTTGATTATTGGTTTGAACAGAGCCAAAATACATATGAAACAGAAATAACAATTATTTATTGCTGTAACTGAAGCTAGAAAATAGCAGACATCAGAAATTTTAACATTTCAATATGAAAATTTCAAAAATTTTTGGGTGCATTTTTTTTTAGATTTAGTAGGGCTTATATTTTTAAATCGATTTTTAATTTCCAGCTTTAGCCGCAATATTTATTGAATTGAACAAGGTCTAATATTTTATTTGTTAATTGAAATGTGCCAAAATGGCAATGAAAAAAATTTTATTAGTATAATTTTTGTTCATATGTATTATTGCTATCTACAATCTGAATTTTGAGAGTTGACTTTAATTAATTTGGATCAATTGTGTTGACTTAAAAAATGATTTGGTTTGTTTCATAATTGAACTAAGATTTTGCATTTACATTTGATTCGAAGACTATTCAAATTGTACTGCTTGTAACAATTTTATTAATAAGTGTATTAATTATGTTGTTTACTTTATTTGCATAACTTAATAAATATTTGTGACTTTCAAAACTAATATGTAGGGTTTTAGCTTACAAATTTTATTACTCAAAGAATTACAATTTTAACATACAATTTAGATTTTGATCAATACATACTGTATTTCTTAAACAGTCAAAAATTGCATGCGTACATATATGTATAATTGAACAATAAAATTAATAGACAAAAAAAGGAAAGTAAGTTTTATCGCTATATAATTTTTTTAAACAAAATTAAAATCTCAAATTTCTCATATATAGTGTGTGTTTCTCTGATTCATGCCAATAATATAAATTTACTTATGATATATATAGAACTTTATAACGATTATACTATCAATTTCGTTGGTATAGATCAATAGTCCGAAAGTCATGTGACAGTAAAATCGATCCTACATCCTGGTATTGTTACTCTTTAATATCACAAAAAATAATCGCAAGTGCTATAACTATTAGACTTAGATATGAAATCAATCTTCTATACAAATTAGCTTATCAAAACTTAAATATTCTATATAAATTTGTACTCTAACTTGTAATTTAAATAAAATATGCTTAAATACATAAAAAAAAAAGAAGAAAACAGCTATTTGGCTATATATTATAGCTATCTACAAAATTTGGTATTGGTATACCCAAGCCAAATGGGGTGATAGTATGATTCCTCAAGAGGCAATAGCAAATATTATAACTTATAAAAATCAAATATGAAATTAAGCTTTTACAAAAACTATTCAATAAAAAAGTTTTTTCCAAATCGGAAAAAACTAACAATATTCTCAAATATATTAATCTCAATAAAAAAAAAGAATAAATAAATAAAGTACGCTTAGATGTACTTTATTGTTTGGAGTTCATCTAAACACCAAAAGCAGTCTTCTAACTCTGTTGCAGATATGTGCTGTAGCTGGTATCCTTATGAAAGAGTCTTATGGTATATGTACTATAATATATCTTTTTTCTTGTTGTTGGCTGCTTTTAAAAATAGCCAGTCTATTTTGGTTTCTGTTAGTATCTTGTTTTTTATTAACTATGAGGTCTTCTATCTTTCAGAACCAATTATGATTTGCCTTAATTTTTCTCTGAATTTTTTTCTATACTGCCAGATATGGTTTCTATTCTGTTGGTCAGGCTTTAGATCTGATTGGAATTGATGTTAGAGCTTGTAATATTGTGATATCTTTTTTGTATCTTAGAGAGTAGATAATTTTGCTTTATTTAAGTTTTGCTTATAGACAATTACCAGTTATTAGTCTTGTCTATACAGTTAAAGAACTCACGGATATTACATAATATCATATAGGTGGGGAGGGGGTCACAAATCTCTTATGTAATACAAAGTTCCAAGAATAGAAATTAATACATATTACAAAAAATCTAGAATGATCATATTTAGATTTCGCAAAAGATAAGTTTTATTTCACTTAAAATTTGATTTATTTATATCTAGCCCTAAATTTATACAGGTCTTATTTATTTAAAGTCTTATTTACTTTTAAGATAGGTAAAACGTTTGTGGTTTACAAGAAAAGCATAAGTAGAAAAGTATTTTTGCATTTTTTACATACAAGACGTGAGTATTGTTCAGCACTAATTGAAGGGCAATGCTCATCATATTTTGCTAATTTCGCTAAATCTAGATATTGTACAGTATGAATCAGGTTCAAAAAGTGATTGTCTTTGCCTTGAATTACTGGTGGAAGGAAACCATTCATAGGTTCAAAAAGGGCAGCAACCTCAGAAGCTCGTTTTGGTGAACAGCATTCAGAAACTTCGCATTTTCGAATATCCAA